AAAATCCTGAGGGTCTGTGTTGCAATGTACCTATGGGGACCTGCCAAAGGCTCCGAAGAGCGCCCTGTCTGCCACTGCCACTTCAGGCACCATCGGGTCTGCTGGGTCACAAGCCCAAGTGGCAGAACGGCTGGGACAGCAGCCTGGACCTGTCGCGGAGCCTTCTCCTGCTCTGCGCCCCACTCAAAACTAGCAGTTTTGGGGATCACTCAGTAGATGGGCCAGAGTAACACACCCAGATGAGGAATGTGTCCCCTCCCAGATGCAAATGGGCCCACTAGGTGGTTGTGCCTCTTTCTTGGTTGTAGGAGGGGCCAAATGCGACAACTTCACCTTCACCTTAGAAAGAATATCTTGACATGCCCCACGCCATGGAAGCCCTGGAAGTTTCACAGAGGTAGAAGAGCCCTGAATTTTAGAAGACCCCAACCTTTGACACCCAAATGTCTTACTAATAAGTCCAGGGTAATTACTGCTTCCTGCTCGTTAGGTCCAACTGGCATAATGTCATTAATGTAACGGACCAGCGTGACATCTTACGGAAGGGGAAGGTGATTCCTGCAGACAGCATCATGACATCGGGCTGGAGAGTCCATAGACCCCCGGAGAAGGCCAGCAAAGGTGTATTGATGGCCTTGCCGTGTGAAAGCAAACTGCTTCTGGTGGGTTCTATGGACAGGGATGGGGAGAAAGACATTTGTCAGATGAGCAGCTGCGTGTCAGGTATTAGGGGATGTGTTGATTTGCTCAAGTAATGAAACCACATGGTTCAGCAGCTGCAATTGGAGTCACCACTCGGTTAAGCTGCTGATAATCCGCTGTCATTCTCCGGGATCCTTCTGCCTCTTGCAGAGGCAGCTCTGTGGCTTCCGTCTGGCCTTTCCCACCGTAATGGTCACAGGTTAGGGGACAAATGAGAGGATTCTGCCAGCTGCTAAGTATGTGTATTCCAGTTATGCATTCAGAACTGGGGGCGTAGGGCTGGGTGCTGTGGCTCATGCCTATAATCCCAGCAACTTGGGAGGCTGAGGCAGAGGCCATGAGTTCGAGACCAGCTTGGGCTAAAAGTGAGACCCTGTCTCTACAAAACACACACACACACACACACACACACAAATTGGGTGTGGCAGGGCGTGCGTGTACCTGTAGTCCCAGCTACTCGGGAGGCTGAGGCAGGAGGATCCCTTGAGCCCAGGAGTTTGAGGTTGCTGTGAGCTAGGATGACGCCACTGCACTCTAGCCCGGGCAACACAGCCGGACTCTGTCTCAAAAACAAAAACAAAAATCTCCATGAAAACAAAATCAATGTGAAGAAAGAAATCCTCCCCCGCAGCCACCCCCAGGTTCTGACATGCTCAGGCCCCCAGCTACTACAGGCCAGGAAAGGAGAGCCCAAGACTCCCAAGTGTATGACCAGGTCCTAGAACGGCTAGGAGGGAGGGATGAGGGGTCCCCACCAGGGGACGCTCCAGAGCCTTTAGTGAAAGACTCGCCCACTGCTGCTGGGACCAAATAACGTGCCCGGAATGATTCAGCTCTGAAGTGGGGAGCTGGAATTCAATACTAATGATAATAATATTATTTCTATAGTTCTTACTATATTCCGGGCACTGTTTGAAGCACTCGGATTGTTTTAATGCAAGTTTGGGCCCTCTTATCATGCACAGTTTACAGATAGAGGCTCAGAGAGGGTACATAACTTACCGAGGGTCACACAGCGCTGGAATCGGAATCCAGGCGGTCTGGCCTGACTCGAACCCATCTGTGTGACCCCAGAGTCTGTAACTCAGCAACTGCCTCTTGCTGCCCCCCAAACACCAGGCAGGGGAAAAGTGGAGTGTGGGGTAGCAAGGGCCAAGAAGGCAGCTGTGTGAGCTGGGACAGATCAGCAGGGGCCTGAGGTGCCAGCCTGGGAGGGTGCACGGTCCTGGGGCTGGCAGTGGTCTCTACACTTCCTCTCCCCAACGCCAGGTCACTTGCTGAGGACCTAAAAGCCCTGTCTTCACGTTCAGTCACCTTGGGGATCGGGGCTTTCCCATATGAATTTTGGGGAGCCACAATTCAGCCTTGTTCCTGTGGGTCCTCCTGCAAACCAGATGCTCTCCTAAGCCATCGGCGTCCCCTCCACAGGCTGCAGCATGTGTCACGCTGTCCTGTCTCACACCGAGAATGAAACCTTGGTCCCAGTCACACTCAGGGCCGGGCATTGTTTCAACACTCACACAAATTTCCCCTTGAATCCTGATGACCTTGTGATAAAAACAGGGTCACAGAGACATGAGGAGATGAAGTGGCTTCCCTGGTTATTGATCAAGGGCAGGGCTGCCAGGTAGCAGCATTTACGGTACCTTTGTGGGAAGTAGAAAAAGTCTCCTGCATTTTTTGGGGCGATGAACAGGCTATAAAATTGATCGTGGTGATGGTTGTACAGCTTTGTGAATATACTAGAAGCCTTTGACTTGCACACTTTAAGTGAGTGGATTATATAGTACATGAATCGTCGTTTTTACAAGAATTTTACCCATGGCATCCACCCCAGACTTAGGAAAGTGCCAGCTTCCTGTTTATCTTTTTGTTGTGTTTTCCAATCTTGCAGGGTTATAAATAACGGCTGTGCGGAACATGCTCACACACACACACACACACACACGCACACGCACACGCATGCACATCCCTAATGAATTCCTCGGAACAAATTCCCAACGGCCCTGTGTGGCTGCCTAGCCCTTGACATGTGGCTGCTCCAAAAGGACTCATTAAGAAAAAAAGAATGTACGATATTTCATCAATAATTATTTTATATCGGTAACAAGTGTGAATGACAACCCTTTGTGTATTTCAGGATAAAAAAAATCGATTCTTTAAATTCTCTTCACCTGCTTCTTTTTATTTATCGAAGATGGCCACTGGAAAATTTCACATGACGCATGAGGTTCACATTTGGGCTGGCTTCGGATTTCTGCAGGACGACACTGCTCTAGAGAGAAGGGTTACATCCATCTGGGGACCAGGAAGGGGAGATGAGAACAAAGCAGGGAAAATAAGAGGAGTGAGTAAGCATTTGCCCATGGCCCAGTTGCCATGGTAACCTTGCAATTAAACTCTTCAAATGTAAAAAAAATCAAACAAAAACCTTGAGATGAGATGATAAATAAGTAGTTTGCTTATTATATAACAGATGCTTTTATAATGGTAAGTTCTTTTTTTTTTTTTTTTTTTTTTGAGACAGAGTCTC